GAGGTCAGCTGGCAAAACCATGTTTGCCATCTTCTTCAACCTAGCCGGAATTGTGGCCTCAGTGCCTTTGAAAGAGCATCGGACGGTGACATCGGAGTGGTACACAAATGTCTGCCTGCCAAAAGTTTTTGTTAACCTCCTCAGAGGTCGTCCCAAGACGGAGCTCCGCAGGTATTTCATCCATGACAATGCCCTGGCTCACAAGGCCCATCGCACGGAGGACTTTCTGGCCGAGCAGGGGATCCAAGTTATCAACCCACTGCCGTATTTCCCTGATCTCGCCCTTTGGGACTTTTAGTTATTCCCAAAAATTAAGGAAAAATTGCGCGGAAGGGTGTTTGACGGGCGCGAAGAGCTCGAGGCGTCAGTGAACGAGGAGCTGGAAAAAGACGAAATTTTCGGAGATGTTTCGATGCCTGGATCTCCAGGCTCGAAGAGTGAATTGAAGTTAATGGGGATTATGTTGAGAAATCTTGAAGGGCCTTTTGAGAGAGAGAAAAATCCTGGTCTGCCATCATTATTAAAGAAAAAAAGCGCGAATTTTTAATGATCCCACATATATGCATTTACATAAATTACTGCATACTTCAACCAAAATGTGCAAGGAATCATGTCACGTAAAACGTTTTTCTTCTTGTTAAACAAACCCGTTTGGTCAGTAAGTACTTCAAACCGTACCGACAAGAAAGACAATATTACGGTGGCATTTGTAATTTTTTTTATTTAAAAATTTGGACATTGAAAAAGTGTCGTCCCTGTTACCGTAGGATAAATCATTCCAACCTAGTTCTTGTTTTTGTCTCTTTGGATTAGAAAAGTGTGGGCTGTGGGCCGGCCATGGCAGCACAACATGATTCGCGGCTCGGAGTAGAAATTATTGGTCGACGATCGCATTCCGGGTTGGGTGCGGGCCACGCTTCGAATCGGGCCGATCGAGTTTCAACCCAGAAAAGTCAACCCGTGCTGGCCACTGACGCGCAGAAAGACAGGAGAACCCAGAGCAACCACGTTCGAAGCGTACTTTTTGGACATTTGTCCCAATAAGTATCGCCTCCAGGTTATGAGTTATCGATTTACACAGCAGTTATTAATTTCCTTTCATCCGTCTAAGAGGGGTTTCCCGGAATGACACACTGCCACACAGATAGGTTTAACCTCGTATGCATATGGATACCTCAGGTTGGTTTTTATGCCCGACCCGAGAGTTCCCTTAACAGTAATATTTCAAAAAGAATAGAAACTCCCCAAAGGACACCAAGTTGGATTTCTGAGGAAATGGAGGAATCCATTTCAGAGCATTGGACAAAATCCAAATTTCCATCCTCTTATTTTGAAGTTTTTAGAAGGAAAATGCGGAAATTTCAGGATAGCATTTTCTACTGTGAATATTCAAAAGCTTTCTAACGTTCGTGAGATCACCAGGCAAAAAAACAAAAAAACAAATTGAAAATAATTTCGAAGCCGAAGAGGCGACTGAATGTCCATGTCAAAAGCATAGGGCAGGAAGCAGCGGAAACATCTTACGAACAGGGACTGTCAAAGGATATCCCGAGATAATTGAATATCTCTTCCCTCCGGGGCCAACGCAAAAAGGAAATGCATCTGCATTCCGTAAAAATTGACTCCAGACTATCTCCAAACCCGTCGGAGCTAATACAGTGTGATTGAATAGCTTTACTACTTCTCGTGGCTCATAACTTCATGTGCCTTCGTCGCAGAGCAAGGAAACAAAGAAACAAAGGAATCGAAACAAAGGTATCGACTTCCAATTTCATTACCTGCAATTACCACAATTCAATGTGAATACCAGAAATTACGTGGCAGATACCGAGTATACCATGTCATTTATTCATTTATTCTTTTTCAGCGTTCACGATGAATAACGAGTATTTCCGCCGGAATATGAGTAATTTCAGGGCGATCACATCGAGATGGGCATGGTCCCTCTGCATCTATGTACTTCCTCTAAATTAATCCCGTTTCGGAACTCTCCGAACATCATGATTCAAAAGCCTAACCCCGGTATGGAAGCAAGATTTCAAGGAAATAAGTATTACGGAATTATTCCACCCTTTATGGAAAGCTCCATGGAAAGAATGTTTTGCACTTCAATGGTCATATCCCATACTATGATAGAAACTCTCATGGACTACTCGTATCTCTCTCGCGTTCTTATAATCTCCTAAAGAACTAAACATTTAGCAAGCCTGACAAAATAATGCAATAAAAGCTGTCAAAGTTTTGCATTGTCTTCGAATATGCAGGCATCGAAACCCACATGAAATGAGAGGAAAGCATATCGGCAATTTCACGAAAATAATTACAGCTATAGACTCAAAAGGAGATGTACAGTACATTGTTCCTCTGATCACTCGCGGAATATCCTCTCCTAAACATTTTAGAATATTGAAATAAAACTGCTTTCGGAGTTTTTACTTTTTGGCAAACTTCTACTAACATCGAGACAAAGGGTCGGCAGTAGAGGGATCGACACTCATCGAGTTGCCAGCGAATGAAGCGAAAATGACTTGAATGTGCAGGAGCCTGTGAAACGGAGATCCTCACATCCCTAGTCCGATGGCTCTCCCTGGAGCCAGACCCAAACCAAGTCACATTTTCACATAGGTCCTTTTAAACCATCATAGATAAGCTGGTTTTTTCGCCAGAAAGAGCTTAAAAAAAACCTAAGACTGCCAGCGCACATAAGCACTAACTGTGAACAAAGCCATTTGTGAATTGGGATTCGAAATTATCCGCAGGTATCTCTGAGGATCGTGCTCCCTGCGCAACATGAAAGGGCGACCATGCACATACGGTCAGAATAGCTCAGTGGCCCAGACACCCAACAGAGCCTCAAGCCTTTTTGCTAAATAATTAAGCTCAGCTTTATTGAGGGCACACCTTCCGAATGCTATCAGTCTTTCTTTACCATCAACTATTTGGGTGAGGACAGCACCGAGACCAACTTCCGAATCATCTATTTCTAGAATAAAAGGAGATGGAAAGCAGGAAATACCAACATAGGGATGTCCAACAGGGCAGCAATGTGACAAGAAAATACTTCAAAAGCTTCAGGTATATATTTAACCTTGATATTTTGTCCGTCTTGGACCCAGAACCTTGCAAACAAACTCGTAACGGTCCGCGACGGCAGAATAACTGTCAGTCAGCGAACCAGACTAATTGGATCGCTGGAGGCCGACTGGACGATAAAGGGGAAAATGTATGGATGAGGAAAAGTCCATCGTGGAAGTACGGAGGCAACCGCTTGCGACATGACATGGCGTGAGATGGAAAGAGCAAAGGGACTAGGTAATGAAAGAGAATTCTATGTCGCAGTCCTATTCGAATTTGAAAAAAACAAAAAAACATTTTGTCTGGGAGTTATTGTAGACCTAGAACTGAGGTAGGCTATTGCCCTATTGTTTCATGCAGCCCTTGATTATCCCTTCAGATATCCAAGACTGAGTAGGCTTTATGTTCAAGGCTCATGTGGTTGATGTGATGCTGGAACCGTTGCGGTCTGGAATCGGCTATAGTGTGATCCGATAGACTATCCTGTTTAAAATACGTGATGGTACTTCTGAACCTCTTCAATACGGTTTCTGCAGATGGCACGATTTGTTCTGGAGACTCCAACTGTCAGAGTGTGACTTTTTAACGCCCTATTCGAAGAGCTACTGTGACAGAGGCCCTCTTATCTTAGGATGGCAACTTTCTGGATTGTGAGTGCATGGATCCTCGGACATCTCGTATTCTCGGGTGAGTTTAAGACACTAATCATGGATTCGTTGCACGCCTGTCAGCCCTGGTCAAAGGCGAAAGCGCATTCTGGCTTCCCTTTGCTTGGCAGTAGCAACGCAAAGTCAGGACTATTTCATGAGTAGAATGTGGGGGATGGGAGAAACAATCCGTTGATGTATGACTAAGCCTAGACATATTCAGTGCAGCATATTGAAGGAGCTTTGAGGATGGTATGTTCTGGAGCAAGTAACACAAGTCATTACGACCACAGGCCTGCCATTATTCCTTTCCCTAGCTATGTAATCACGATCTTGGACATGTGAGGCCTACTTTTCATCCTCCATTCGACCCCTCCCCCTCTTTGATAGCCAATGTGACCCGCGAGAACTCGCTTGGCTTAACCAGTAGTTGATGGAGGTCGTCGTGTTCAGATCTATGAAAAACGAGAATTGAGACCAGAAGAGACCCAAGACTTCCTGTTATCTTGCGATCAAGCATGTCTTTTCCCCCGTCCTATATCCTAAGGGCAGGTTTTCCACATGAAGCCATTCCACATCGACAGAAGAAAATATTAACTGTGGAATTGGGGCATATCAACGCCCGCAATGATTGAATGCTCCCCATTTCACTTCTTTGATGCCTACTTCACGATTTTCAAATGGTCATTTTTTGCGCAAGTAATTCTTGATCGATGGAAATAACCAAAAAGCACAGGGGACCAGATATGGGGAATAGGGTGGCACATCTAGGATGAGATTGATATTACAGATTCCAATGAACTGCAGTGTCTTTGCCGAGTTGGGTGCCGACTCTTTGCCGTGGTGCAAGAGGTGCTAATAAATCTTTGACTTCGCATAACATCTGGCGAGGTTTTTTTTTGCGGTTTGCGGGTTTTTTCTCGAATGCTGGACTTGTTGCTGCAGTCCCACTTGAAAAGAGACAAACAGTAACATTTGACTGGTACACATCAAAATGATTGCCAGAGATTTTCGAAAACCTCGCCAGAGGTCAAATATTTCATTTCAGTTCATTCATCACATCAATTTTTTCCTGGATGTGCCACCCTATTTTCCAGATCTGGCATCCTGTGATTTTTCATTATTTCAGAGGATCAATAAAAAAAAATAAAGAAAGAACCATTTGAAAATCGTGAAGAAGTAATCAGAGAAGTGAAATGGGAGCTGCAGGAATTCAAAAACGAAGATTTTGAGGAATGGTTGCAAAAATAGTTGCAGCGGATGAAAAATGCATTGATGATGACGGTACTTATGTAAAAAAAAATGTTGAATAAATGCCCTTACAGCCAAACATTTTTTTGCATTATCTTTATTCATTCTGTAAAAGTCCGAATAATTTTGGACCATCCCTCGTATGTATGGAATCGCCTCCCCATTTCAGTTAGTAGCACCAATGTTCCCCCAACTTGCCTATTTAGCCTTGGATGCTGAAATCTCATTTAAGCGAGATAAAGGGGATCCATTTTCCCGTCAGGAATCCAGGGATTCTTAAAATACCTTTAACCAAAATAGGTTTCACCATTCGGGTCATTGTTGCTCCAATAAAAAATATATGAGGATAAAACGACCATTCGACATTGTTTCTGAAATTTTTTTCTGAATTCATGTTAACAGCGAATGGTGAAGCAAGTGTGGAAGCATATGCAGAACCCTCGGGTCCCTATTTCCCAGGCCAATCAATCATCATGCACTGCAAAGTCACTGGAGATACAACTACATTCTGCACCTGGAACCCCCCATATGGAGCAGCCATTTTCCCGGGTTTATTTCCTAACTTATATGAGAGTGTGAGCAGCAGCAGGACGAAAGAATGCACTTTCAGAATCAAGAGTGCCAGTGACTTCGAGAATGGGAAATGGACTTGCAGCCCCTCCTTGCGTGGTGGCAATTCGAAAAGGAGCGACCCTGTTGATATTCTTGTAGCACGTGCGTAATTTGATTGATTTTTCCCTGCTGCCTTTATGCACGTGACAATGGAGCGATGTCTACTGTGGTAGATTAACTGAATATTATTCCTCTTTGCGTGGGAAGTAATGTTTCTTGTATGAGATAGATCCATAACTAAGTGATACTTTTCTCTTATGCAGGACCACCGGAATCTATAGGTATTCAGGTGTCTGAAGTCCTAAGGGATGCTAACCACGAAATCCTACAGGCACAAAATCCAGTCAACTTCACTTGTGAGGTGGAAGGCATTCGCCCTGATGTTGAGAGCATCCAGTGGTATATTGGTGAGTAATCTCACCGTATTATTGTTATCCGAATTATAGTATAGTATTAATGTTATAGTATTAATTATAGTATAGTATTAATGTTATCCGAATCTTTGCTTTTCACATCCTAGTAAATAGAACAGTTATTTTATGGACAAGTTGATGATAATGCCTTGATTTTATCATTTCAGTGAGGGAAGATGGAAGTGAAGACCCTTTGACGCCGTCTCACACTGAGCTCCTCCGCAACAACAAAACCTTTGTCTCGGCTGACTTTTCCTCTTACCCAGGAATGCCGAATCAAGGGGTGCAGCAGATGATGGTCTTTAATGTAAATGCCACTTTTAGCCATGTCATCTCTCCTCAGGACAATGGGAGAAATTTGGTTTGTCGTGTGACTCACATGCTGCTTCATCCTGCCAATAATTCTGCCTCTACTAAGTTGGAAGTACAATGTGAGTGGGCAAAACACACTACTGTTGGGCAATTTGAATGCTAAAGTGTCTGCAGCTGAAGACTATCCATCCATGCTCTGAAGTTACTTTGCATTGAGATGATATTTGTGTTTATCTTGCTCTTGACAGATGTCCCTGTAGTGCATATGGATGCCTGGAAGACAAAGAACTTTGACCCCAATGGAAATAAATTTTATCTACCACCAGGCACAAAAGGAGAGATCACTGTGCATTTCCTTGCCAATCCACCTATCTCTGCTCCAGAAAGGGAGGTTCAGTGGATCCTTCGCAATAGTGTTACCTTGAATAGTGGGGAAGAATATGGGAAGGTCAAGGCTGGTCCTGTCACTCGTGCTCCGGTAAGACTATTCTTGGGAAAATATACTTTATGTTGCTTAATTCATGTGCAGGATCATGGCTTAGAAACTGAAACTAATGGTTTATTTGCAAATTTTCTAATTCCATTGGATTATTCTGAATATAATACACTCTTACCACAGGGACATGTTGTGAGACAGCCAGGTTTTTTAAGGTGTAACTAGTTGCAGCTACAGTTACTTTGCAAAAATACTGAATACGGCCTCGTGAATGAGATGGCTTTCCCAGAAATAAATTAGTTCTCGCTACAAGTTATTCAAACTCGAGGATCTCCGGGGGTGAAATCGATAGCATGCGCGATCCTAACTGCTAGGCCGAGCGAAAATCGTGGGTGCGTAACAGTTCTATAAGCCTAACGCATACAGATATGATATTGGAGTTTCGACCGAACTCTTCCCTCTCATCCAAGGATGTGCCTTTTCGAAAAGAAATTTAAAGATCGGTCACAGCAAAGAGAAGGGAGGCAATTTTCACGGAAAATCGGAGTTTCGCTCCATTTTTATTATTAATTATTGAATAAGTACGTCCTTAGAGGCATTCCAGTCCAAGGAATTTCCAGAGAACTCTGGCTCGAACGATACAAGGATGGTTCAATTTACAAGGTGACTGCATGGAAAGTAATTTTACCATCTAACATTATCTCTTTATCATATACAAAGGTTTTCCTGAATGTGAGAGAGTTGAGGATGAGATGAAAACTTCCATTGTAAGATTGAATTTCCCCCAGCTTCTCCATCAGAGTAGAGAGTATAATTAAAGGTGGCACTCCGCTTGAATCCCATTAATTGACAGGATCGCAAAATAGATGTCGCTGTCAATCCTCAACTAAGCGTGCGCATATCAAGATCTCCTCTTTGGTCTAAGTGACAAACAACAATTCCCTGGAAGTGTTGTTGATACCTACTACTAACTTCGAACAACTATCCACCTGGTTTTAAGAAAGTTGTGCCATCGCAATATGTCAATAACCTCAGAAAACGTAACACATCAGGGATTATTTGAAATACTCAATAACAAGGACAGTTAACTGATTTAGAATCACTTGATAGTTTTCAATGTAGCCGCCCTTGGCACAGATGACAAGTTTCTGACGACCTATGAATACATCGGCTGATTTTCACAAGACTTCTGGTGGAATTCACTCTGATTCTGTGTTCAGGGATCGCTTAAAAAATAAAAAGCATTTTGTAGCCTATACTCTGCTCTCCACGATGGACCATATTGAAAAATGTAATATCGTTTTTATAAAGTCATTCGACGTCAAGGGGCGGCTTCTGTAACGGTCTGGGCGGGGATTGCAGCACTCCGCTTGTTTTCGTGCCTGAGAAGATGAAGCTCAACGCTGAAGCATACCGGAAAAGCATCATGGAAGACTGCCTAGTTTCGTGGGCCACCAAATATTTTGATGGAGGCTGCTGGGTTTTCCAGTACTCAGCAACAATGCGCGGAAGACCCAGGATTGTCTGCGGACAAATGTTCCCGACTTCATTTCGACTTTACAATGGCCTCTTTACTTACCCGATGTCAACCCCCTAAATTTTTCAATTTGATCCGTATTGGGTAGCATAGTGTGTGCTACAAAGCACCGTTCATTGGATTCTCTTTAGCTATCCCTGAATGGAGAATCGGAGTGAATTCCACAGGAAGTCTTGCGAAAATTATTGATGCTTTCATGAGTCGTCTGAACCTTGTCATCCATGTCAAGGGCTTCTAACAATATATTTAAAACTATCAAGTGATTCTAAATCAGTAACTGTCAGTTATTGTGTATAAAAAGAACTGATAAAAAAATTTTTTTTTTTGCTGAGGTGATTGTCATATTGTGAATGGGACACAACTTTCTTAACACCCTGTAATTCACTTATTTCAAGGAACGCATAATTTGAACTGTTTTTCAGAGCTTTGAATTTTTAATATTTAAACAGTTAATAGAACGTACCTAAGGACGTTAATGGAACGCAGGCGATAACTTGAATGAAACGTTCATTGAACACGTTTGGGCCCTACTTGGGTGTTGGTCTCTGAAGTTCATGGTGATTCCTGCCACAATAAAAGAACATTTATTTTCCTTCGGTTTCCATCAGGTTTTACCTGCCACTAGTTCATTACTGCAATGATGGGAAGCTTCAGGTAATGGTAATGTGAGAACATTTTCCCAGGACATGGCGACAATTCTCTACCAGATTCGGACAAAAAGACTATATTCGGACTATAACCAATGTAAGACAAATGTATGTGAATGCTTTGAAAACTAACTGACAATATCAGTGAAAATGTTGAATATGATCCCCACAATTGTTTGGAAGAACTGTTAAGTGTGAATGCCATTAGTCACTGGCCTTCTGAAAAGAAAGGCAACAGGAAGATGCATGGGTAAGTGGATATCTAAAATCCGGCCTGTGACAATTTAGGTTTGCGCTTCTTTTTCATGAGTCCTGATCCAGCTTAGGCACCAAACTCAAGGTTGAGATAACTTGAGTACCACACAGTCTGTTAATAGTTTCACTTAGTGTAGAATAATAAGGTACGGTTTTATTTAAAATGTTTTCAGTTTTTTTTACCGAAACCCTGATTGAGATTGGGTGTCACAGATCGGTTTTTTTTTTTACTCACCCACGTGGCATTCGTGTTCCATGTTTGTGTTTGTGAGATGTCATGATTTCTTGTTTTCCTAGCATTTTACTCTACCTGAAAAAGACAAGATACTGTACTATGCCATTCCAAGTTAGATCGTGTGTATGAATTCATTGTACTTCATAGGGTGTTGCTTTGAGTTAAAAATCAGTATTTTTTAGGCCTTTTTTATGCCTTTCAACTTCTTACAATCTGGGATGCTAATGTATTGCTTAGAAAGAGATTTTTCGGGGGGAGGGGTAGAGATTCACATCTAATGCAGACATTTGATTCCATTAGGACATAAATCCATAAACTATGCTGCTTAGTCTGACCCTGGCCGAGAAGCTCTATACATCTAGCACTCGATAAAAAATAAGATTCTGTTTTCTAGCTGATATAGCATAAATCCATTCTTGTTTGAATAACCGTGAATGAAACAAAAGCCTCCAGTGGGATGATGTCATTGGGTTCCTGGTAAATGTTGATGGAACATGTTCTTTGCGCGAGAAAACCCCCCCTGAAGAGGATTTACATATGTGGCTGTTTCATTGAAATTTAGGAGTAATGGAACAAGCCTCCTTTTTTGTCAACTGGTACTGAGGGACACCTTGGAGATCTTGATAACATATATTTTATTGCTAATAACTTACAACGCATGTTTCCTTAATTCAGAGTGCGAGGGATGATCTGTATGAGACCACATTGACTATTGACCCAGTGGGCCGTGAAGATGCAACTGATGGTTACCTTCTTCGACTTTACTCCTCCTCTGTTTCCCTGAATGCACAAGAGCCATACACAGAGTTTAAATTTGGGGTTGAACTTGCGGACAGACCCCCTGCTACAGGTGAGAACAATAGCCAATTTTATGTTCAGTGTCTAAGCTACTAGCAGAGTTGGCAGCTTTAACATGATACATTATGCACATGGTACCAGTGGGCGAACTTTTATTATATTCATGTTGAGAAACTCTTAACTGTAACTTGTGCAGTTTGCATTATATTTTATTTTGCAATATGAGAAATAACGTTTGGTTAAATAGTCACACTTAATTACTTAATAGTTCAATTGTATCAACAGGATGACTTCTTTAAGGAGGAGACCCCTGAGCCATCTTAGATGGGCATATAGTCTTTACTTTCAGGTTATATATTTTCCTCAAGTTGAAGGTGAAGTCCACAAAAAAGAAATGCAAGACAGTGTTCAGTTTCATAAATATTCTTTGATAATATTTGAAAATGCTAAATCAATTTTCACATTGAAATCTGACAACCTATCTTAAGGTTTTTCATGGTTGGGGATTTCGGCAATCTCTGCTGCAGTGATTTTGATCGTGGGTCTGACAGTAGGCTCTATTTTCTACTATCATTACAAACAGAAAAAAGTGAGTCACGCACCAGGTTTCCAAAACTGTCTCTTTCTTTAATCGTATCTAATTCTCTTTCGTTAACTTAGCAGGTTAGGAACATCACATTGTCCAAGGAGGAAACGGACCGATTCTTGAGAGGACAACCCGAGAGCTTGAATCCAATGATGGGCCTTAGCGAACAAGCGCATCTGCTGCCATTCGAAGAGCACTGGCACTTCCCTGCTGAAAAACTGAAACTCGGTAAGGACCCGTACCCCCAATCTGGCGGATATGTTAAGAAGGTAGATTCCATCGCAATAGGAGAAGTCCTCGGCAGTGGCGCATTCGGTTACGTACTGAAGGCCGTGGCTGTTGGGATCTGTCCTCCGGAGCCCAAAACGATAGTGGCCGTGAAGAGAAGGAAGCCTCTCTCCAGTCTGGAGAATTATCAGACCCATTTGATGGAGGTGAAGATCATGAGTCACCTCGGAATGCACTTGAATGTCGTCAATTTCCTTGGAGTATGCACCAAAGATGTGGCACATGGTGAGTACCTTTGTCATATCGTGCAGGGTTGGTCAATGGTATGCAAGTTCGGCAGAGCATCTATATATACAAATATACCTACATACATAACGACCGGCAGATGTCTGTATGACCGGATTTTGCCCAATGAAGTCCTCCTAGGTTTCTGAACAGATTTCCGCCATCGATACGTCATTCTATTTCTAATTTCCTGCAGATGGTCCAACTCAATTTAGATTTTTTTTATGAATTGACCTATAACCTGACCAGGATTTCATAGTAATTTTAAACCCAGATTCCCATGAGATATAAAATTCGAAAGGTCTGAATTTCCCTTGTTAAATTCGTCTTTATATCGCAAAACTGTTAGCATTTGATCCTACTGTGGCCAATCTGAGTTCTGAGTGCACGTGCGCCATCTCTGTAGAGTCTAGCTACCCGCTACCGTGAGGTACCATGTGCATGTACGGGCGAATTAGCATTTTTTAACTTACATTTTCAAGTGTTCTTCCTAAGGTAAAAATTCCTTCGTCATGCCACAAAACGTCGAAAGAAACCACTGGAAAATACCCTCGCGTCGATGATCGTAGGAGAAAGCGAATCACGCGTGAGAGTCATACTATTTTAAGGATCCATTGTAGGCTTTGGGTTAACACCGAGAAAAGGTTGAAATTATTAGACATGACTGGATTTTAGAATTTAGCGAAGAATATGAATAAATCAATTAATTGCTGGCTCTTCGTAATGAACCGAATCTTCAGCACATTGAGACTGCAACTGGATTGACGAAGTCGTTTTAGAAGCCATTAGGTACAAATTCTTTTTTTCACATTTGCTTTTCTCATGGTCTCAATATTGTTCCGAAATGGAGTTATCCTCATCATCTCGACGGAAAAAAGGGTTCTAACAATTGGCGCGAGATGACGCTTAATAGGCAATTTAGCGATTCTAACACTGATGTCTGTAAAGTATAGTTCCCTGGGGTTTTTCATACAGTACGCAATATGTACACGCGTAGAGGTGAGAGGTAGAATCCCCAGTTCGCCAATGGTGATATTTCACCTCTCGCCGCAAAATCGTAACTGTGCAAAAACTTCTGAACCGTTCGCCACAAAATTAAGAGTGTTTGTTGTTGAGGTATTAAAAAAAATGACATACGGGGTGACTGGAAAGTTCGGAGAAACTCAAAAATACCAATATCCCGATGCCATAAAGAACAATAAATGTTTTTTTTTTTTCATAAGAAATAACATAAGAAAACCTTAAAAATGAGTTAAACACCTTCGGAATAGCCCCCATTGGCAGCAATAACTTTTCTGAGGCATTTTGGAAAATTGTCCACAGTTTCTCGCAGCTGTTTCACAGGGATTTCGTCCTATGCTTTCAGCAAAGTTGGCTTGAGGCTGTCCAAATTTTTTGGCTGAGTAGCACAGACCTTTACCTCCAAAAAGGAGCAGATAGCAGTCCATCGGATTTAAATCAGGGGAGCAGGAGGGCCAAGTTTCTGGACCGATAAAATCTGGCAATTCGTGCACGCACCAACGCTTGCTGAACTGTAAAAACTTTTTCATCTGAGAACACGATCCGACGGTGTGAGTTTCGCTTGAATCTCGCCAGTAGTTTCCTTGGTTTTTGCTTCCGTAATTCCTTGTCCTTCTTCGTAAGCACCTGAACTACTCTTTTTTTGAAAGAGAAAATGCCCAACTTCTTTCTAAGATAGGAGCGCAGAGTTTCGCGCTTGATCTTCAAGTGCTTTGCAAGACTTCGGCACTTCCGTTCCGGGTTTCGATCGAGAAGCTGTTTCACACGCTTTCGAAGAGCAGAATCCTTGAAGACACTGGGACGGCCACTTCTGGGTCGATCCTGAGTTGTACCAAGTTCCTTGTAGCGGGCAATGGCTTTGTACACAGTGGATCGTGGCAGTTTCAGCTCCTTGATGATCTTTGCAGGTGAATGACCTTGCTGAAACATGTAAATCACAGCTTCCCGACTGGGTTTCGATGCCATATCTCCACCAGGAGGAGTCATATTTGCGATGCAAAAAGTTTAAGCCTAGAGCTAGACTTGTGGAAGAAATGAAGCCTCACAATTGAAAAAAATCTTTAAAAATTTTACAAGTCTCCGAACTTTCCGGTCACCCTGTAAATTGCAGGACTCTCTTAATTAGTGAATATGGGGGGAGTGTTTTCAGCAAGCATTTAGCTTCAGTCGAACCGAGGGACACGGAAATGTGAAAATAAGCATGAACGCATCTACTGATAGAGCGATTTGAGGAAAATATTCAATTTCATATGTCTTCCCTGGGGACCCAATTTTCGGTGGAAGATGTTTTCAAATATTTTTTTCCTTCCCGTGAAATGGAAAACATAGGAAGCTCTAACTTCACATTCACGGGACAACTGACACCTTGAATTCTGGAAAAATGTCAAGCAGCCTACAAGTTCCCTAGGAAAATATATAATGGGGGGAAACGTTTATAAATATTTTTGTCCAAGCCAATTGGGAATTGTGAAACTTGACACACATGACTAACACAATGTTAAGTTCAGAAGACATTTAAATTTGATGGCTCATACCCTCAAGGCACAGATTTTGGTTGGGACAGCTTTTTCAATAAATTTTTGCATTTACTGAAAGGGTAAACGAATAAGGCTTAAACTTGGAAGTCGTCTATTTCTACCACTACTAATTTCACAGAAAAACATTATATTTTTAGGAGATACCCCTCACGACACACTTTTTCTTGAAAAAGGCACATTTTCCCGAATCATTTTGTATTCAATAAAGGAGAGAACAAAAAATTGAAACATAAAGCAGTTGCACATGTCGAATTGATGCGTACGGAAAAAATCCTACTTTTGAAATATGTCCTTCTCGAGAGTTTAATTAAAAGAAAACATTATGAAATTCATTTTTCGCTGGGACGAATTCTGACATATGAGTAACTTTGAAGTTGAATGCACAATGCCTCATCTAGGTAATTATTTCAATAACAATCTTGGTGGCGTCCCTTCATGGTACAAATATGGATGTGGACTTACTTTAAATCACTTTTTACCAATTGGAAATATTAGTATTTTTCAGGTTGATCATGAAGGGCTTTTTTTCCTTGCATAATTTCCTTTCAAATACATTTACACTGCAAGAACCTTTAACGTGGAGGAATATATTATTTATATTTGGTGAACCTGCGGTTTTTTGGAAACTGATTTATGGAGTTCTCCTTTTTTAAGTTACATCCCCACATGGTCCTTACATTTTAAAATAATTTTCAGTATCACAAAACGGAGAGACGAAAAACGGAAACAGTCACAAAGTTTACTCTCCAGATGTATATCTGAAAAGAAACCTTTCGAAATATTCCCATTTTGGGCATACTTTTTGGGGTGACATTTTCCATGAAATTTATTGTTTCAGTGATGAGGCAGATACAGAAAATTGAAATGAATATTTCAGTTTTCTGTAGACTTTGTCAGGAGGCTGTACCAGAATGCATGGGAAATGGGTTGCTCTCAGATCATTGAATAGCACTCACCAGCTCAGTCTGGTTATGTTAGCATTCATTGACCACCATGTTCTGGCACGACTATATTTTGGAGTTGCTTACCTTAATGTATCCTTTTTCTTTGATGTCAAATTAGTGCTGCATGAATGAGCATGAAGATGCTTCCTTGCCAATGTCCCAGGGTTAGCAATTTATCACATTCAGGTTTTTCTTATCCTTTCCGAAAGGCTCCAATTACTCCCAAGTGCCATCAGCTTTTCCCCTTAAACCTAACCCTAAATAAAACCAAACTATCCTGAGATTTAATTAGATGACAGATACTTAACTGGGTTTTAAAACCTTTTGAAATAATGAATCCAGCTATGCGGCTGCTTTTAGTGAACAACTCATGTATGAAATGGATTGTCTTGCTAATTTTTTTTTTATTTTCTGTAACCAGGGCAAATATGAGAGTGAAATTTAAAGAATATCTCTCACTCATCCAAAGGAGGATTAGGAAAAGGAAAACAACTATGAAATTGTTGATGGAAGTTTTAAAAAAAAGATCCCCTGTGGTTTGTGTAGCTAAAAATGTGTATTATTCGAGTCTTATGGTGCAGGACATGAATGGATAACCTCATGCATGAATCCGTGCATACTTTGCATTGGGTGTCTTCCCCACACTGTTTTAAAATATTATATATATGCAAACTGAAGCTCCTCATCATGTTTCTTAGGGACAAAAGCCATGGGTTTCCTCAGAGGTATTTAGTGTTCATCATTTACATTTTTCCTGCCTATTTCTAATCATAAATGGTTAATTAATAAAATTCACTTGGTGTGTATTGTATGCATCCAGTTCTATTCCCCAATGAATTTTCGATCATTATTGTCCCTACAGTTTCCTTCCATCATTCTGCGAAGCAGAATAATGGAAGGAAAGAAGAAGGGAATACACCTTGGAAAGTTTAGGATATTAAATAGGCTAAGCTGCAAATGTGAAAGGATCTAACACTGTAGATCTGTAACTTGAGTTCGTAAACAATGTTGCCCCGTTCCGAAATAATTAGCATTGTTTTTCATTGCAAAATTCATGCAAACCTACACCTAACGTTGCGCCTATACGGAAAACTCATCTTGGCAACACGATGTGATCGATCTGCCTTGCTCTGGTGATGTAAGGCGGGAATACCCAAGTCCAACCAAGAGCTACTGAAAAACATTAACTCCCTGATTTTCAGGTAGAGCTGGAACCTGTATTAACATAGATATCGCCATTTTCCTATAATGACATTTGGCGACCGTTTGATTGGCTGTTCCGATCCCAGTGTTCGAACGCGAGTAAGGTTTCAAAATATGCCTCCCGGAACATGCCAAACGGAGGTACAAGTCCTATCGTTTCCATGCCAAATGGTTCATGGAGCAGCTCGATCTATGCGTCGGGGACTATGCTTCTCTTTACATCGGAATAGATTCTCGATGAGAAAATTTTCTCCAGAAATTCCATGAATTTCTTTTTCCGGTCTCACCACGATGAAATGTAAGAATAAATCGTTCATCTAATTGTTACGCAAGCTATTCATATCGATTCGAAAGAAAAATAACATTAATTTTAGGGGATCTGATGATGATCGTGGAATACTGCCCTTTTGGGAGTCTGCAGAAGTACCTAAGGGCAAATGTATCGCACTTCATCGATCAGAGAGACCATCCCATCGGAACGCTTACTGGCAACACCTGGAGACAGCAGCATCACACCCATGATTCTGAAGATGCTGAACTCAAAACTGAGAGAGAAGGAACACACGGGTAAGCGTTTCCTTCACGGATTTTATTCTCCGTTTCACCAAGATCGTTCCAGCCAACAACTCCTTCTCGTCTAAACAGCGAATGGGTTGTGAAATACGTCGCGGTTGCATCCCCAGCGACTGACTCCGGAGGAACCGAAGATGTACTCCAAAAGGATTCCATTGCCTCTGACTCTGGAATTCTGCCGTATTCGAGTCGTATGATCAAATTCCTCAACTAAGCATTATTACTTGGCACTACTTCTTTCGTTTCATGTATCTGCCAAAAAATCCCGCCACAGTACAATTTATGAAATTGTACGCTATAAATCGTAATCATATAACTACCCGAGATTTTGGATTGTGGAATCGGCCGAACAAACGCAGCAGTATCTTCATCTGCAATTGCAATTTTCAATAGCAAGGGTTTAAATATCAGCACTTGGCATAAATCATTTTGATTTCAGGAAGTGAGAGTGATTCAAAAAATGCTGCGCTGAAGGGGAACGCCAGCCATAAGTCCTTAGAAGGAAGTGCTCGCTCAAGACAATTCACGACTAGTAATCTCGTCTCTTGGGCCTACCAGATAGCTAAAGGCATGGAATACTTGGTTTCCCGAAAGGTGGGCCTCTCCGATTACATCATTCTCAATCGTCGCCTTCAGTTCAAAGGAAAAGAAAAGTCGCAAGCTCCCTCAATTAGTCTGTCATCTTTCAGGGACTTCATGCAATCACGTGATTCAACTAAGGGAAATCACCGTCTTAATATTAATCACCGAACCCCACTTAGGATGTACTTTTTATGAGAACGGAATTTGAAAATGGAAAAATATGTGAAGGTCAGGAGGCAACGGATGCGCAAATTGTTATTCAGCATCTCATTCAGTTATTATACCCATATCGTGCCCTCCCGTTGAGTACCAAATAAATTCGACTTCAAAAATTCAATTGTTAGTCCTGACAATCATATTTGAAATAGACCTAGATAATGTCTACATATCGATATCAATTACAATACATTAAATGCATTTTTCTTATTATCGGAAAGCAACAGTTTAACCTAATATATGGAATTCAGAAACCGACTAATAATCTTCGAGTTTTCATTGCTGTCTCAGGTTGTCCATAGGGACCTGGCCACGAGAAACATTCTACTTGCAGAAGAAAACATCGTGAAAATTTCCGACTTTGGCCTCGCTAGAGACATCTATGAGGGTAATCAGTACGCCCAAAAGGGGGGTGTGAGTTCCACGTCTGCCTTTCACGGTACGAATAATCACTTATGCGTTTACTTTTCACTAATGGACGGAATCTGAATCTTACAGGGTCCATTGCCGATAAAATGGATGGCCTTGGAGTCCCTCACACAGGACATGGTTTACACAAGCAAATCGGATGTTTGGGCGTATGGAGTAACACTTTGGGAAATGTTCAGCCTTGGGAAGACACCATATCCTGGAATGAACGGCGCAGAGCTCGTCCGGCTTCTCCAGACGGGCTACCGCATGGAGGCACCTCGGTTCGCCGATCATCATATGTGAGACAGTTTACCGGTCGCGGTTTTTAATTTTGAACGTGATGTTCATGAGAGATTCATACCAGCAATTTTTTCCATGCTTGAACAGCTACCAAATAATGACGAGGTGTTGGGATGAAGATCCAAAAGATCGACCGACCTTCTCCGCGTTGAGTGCATGGTTTGGGGAAATGCTACATGAGTCTGAACGTCTTGTGAGAAAAATCTCTTCCATGCCTTTTCGATCCAATATTTTAAACCCAGATTTCAACAACATTTCAGTCATGTTCTCTTGCAGCACTACGTGGAAAAGAGCGAGGCGTTCGCGAAAAAGAACGAAGAATACTTCCGGACCAAGACGGACTACCTAAAAATGATGACAATTGATCCGGAAGATGGATACCTGGCACCACTGAGAAAAAAGTATGGAGATGAAGATGTTTCAATTGCAGCCGAAAATGTGAAATCGGAGAATTTTCAGCCAAATATGGATTATCTACTGAATATGAGAACCAGGACAAAATTGGATCACGTGCGGGCAAGACAGGAACCACAAGGGCAAAAAGAAAATCCTATGGTATATGCAAACCTCAAAGACGACGCATTCTACGGGAACGAGGAAAAACGTCACAGAGGACCAGAACACACTGAGAATCAATATTCGGAGATTACTGTAGCGGTGAATACGAAATAAAAGCCAAGTAATGTCGAAGCACCACTGGATCGTGCATTTCACGAGTGGAAATGGATCGCCCCAAAAGTCAAGGAAGTACGGTGAAAACAAGCCAATGAGCATGCAATTGCTCTCATTTATCCTCATCCCCTTTAAATTGACCAAGCAGGGTCGAATATGAGTATGCTGCACAGTAGAAAATTGCTTCTCAGTAGCTCTTTCTTCCACCTGGTGATAGCCACAAGCTGTTCGGAGTATCTAGTGAGAAATATATTTTGGAGCTTGAATAACCCCCTTCCTTTCAACTTTTAACTAGAACAAAAACTGGTCATCTCACAATTAGGCATTGAATCATCGACTTCAACATCCACTGACTAACTCAACTTCGTTAATCATATCAAACACAAGTAGAAACTTGTTCCAATCGCTCTATGGTACACCGATTATTTTACCAGCGAGTTTGTTAGTACTTACAATATTCATGCTTTATCAGAAACTATCACACATTTTGCTTAAGTCTCCATCAATGAAAAACTCAGTTAACGTTTTGCATTAATTAGTGTAATACTGAGGTGAGCAGGTGCATAGCTTCCCTGCAATGTCAGAATATTGATTCGCTTTATTATTTTCTCATTTTGCTCCCTCTTCCACTAACTTTTGCACTCATGAGGATAAACTCTGAATGTGAGAGGGATTGAATCACGGGATAGATTCCAGCCGATGTTTATTGTGCTCCGCTTTTATAATACTGACATTTTCCTACTTTGTCAAAGTCCTCAAGGCGGTTTGCATGAAGAAACTCATAATTGAAGTGCATTGGCCAGTGGTCCATGAACCGACATAGACAAGAACCACTGGTGCCTGAAAATGTCCCCTAGATGCAAGACCATTATGCAAGATTGTATTATTGCGTGCATTTAACTAGGCCTTACTTAACCTGAAATGAAAAATTATTGGGAAGTGAGGATTTCTCGAGCCTTCATCTCTGACGATGTCTTCTCTGCTTCCGAACGGGGCATGCCACGGTTGAAAGGATTGACGTCAAAAGCAGGGCGTCAGCATCCATGATGGGGAATAAGAAACTTTTATTAAGCATGGTCTACTCGGACTTCACCCAGCCCAACCCCTATGCGATGCGACAGGATCCGCATAGCGCAACGCCAGTGTGAACAAGAATTTATAGGTGATGTGTTATTTATCTCAGTTATTTTATGCTATGCGGTTGATGTGAACCTAGCTTAAATCACCAGAATCGAAACGAAATGAAGCTTGGTCTATTCCTCAAGCAAACTGGGATTCATCACTGCCAACTCTTATTATCCTATTCCCCACAGAATATGCTACAGAATTCATTGGCGGCATGAAGTGCAAGGAGCTTGATTTCTTTACGAGACAGGCCAGAATCATAGACTGTCAAAATCGAGAGGTCCCTCTTTCATCGCTATGTTGTCAACACATAACCAGTGTTAACTTCGAGGTGGACATCAACGTCGACTTCAATATGATGTGTCCATACAGATGACCTATGAATGCCAATTTAGGCAGCGGTCCATTACTTTCGGATGCCTAAGTGAAAAGCGTCTGGAAGTCTTTACAGGCCCTTGGGTCTTTCGATTTCATAATTTTGTTTATTTGTTGAAAATGACAATTTTGTATATCTTCACTTTCTACTTTGTACCATATGAGCTTAAGCGAAACTTAATAATTTCTTGTTCCCAAATGACTTCTGTGTGCCTCACAAGAATGCCTACCCAGCAGAACACTCGGGAATTGCAATGGATCGACCAACGCCACATCCAGTAACTTCTCACACTTCTCTCTATCTGCAGGGAATTCAGGCTGACCGACAACGATGCGGTTCGAGAGTTGCCAGAAGTTGCCGAGAGTTGCCTCGGTGCAACTTCTTTCGAGAGTATAATAATTTCCAACTCCTCCGTGGCCACCGTCCATTATATTGTCTTGCTCCACTCGAAGGATCGACTCCGGTAAGTGGATTGTCTCGAGCGCCCTGGAAGAGTTTCCGTTCAACATCATCTCCCTGCTTCCCAAGTTATTTCTGCTCCACCTCTGGGAAAATACGTTGACCGCTTTGACATCGCTCCGAAGCGACAGCCTGGAGAATTTCCTCATTTTCGGGAATCGAATTCCACTCTCAAACACAGGATTGTTTATTCCGAATTTGAATATCCTACATTTGGGTGGGTGATGGTGTGCATCGACTCGCCATTCATCTTTCTCTCGGTGAAGCTATTGAAGGATGAGTTCTGGTCCTTCGGAGATATTGACCCAAAGGAAACTTATTAGCGAACACTTTTTGTCGAAATATCAGGCTCCTCAGTCATCAGAGTTCTAGGGAATATGTTCCTTGTGAAGGAAAAATACAGTTTATTTTTCCAAAGAAATATTTAAAGGATTGATGGGAGTATCTAAATTATTCGGAGTCACAATGAAAGCAGGCCTGAAATAAATGCACTTGATGAGGCGTTTTGAATACTTCCGAAATGAAACTAAGTCGTTTTAAGAATAAGGAAAATCAGGAGGATTCTTTCTTGATTTTACAACCCTTCTAGAAAATAATCCCATCACGGTGTTTCAGCATGGATTCTCCGACGGCTCGGGGAAAATCAGGAAATTTTATTGCCAGAACTTCGACATCGGACCCACCTTATCAACTGGGACCTTGGAATTCAACAGTACGATCTTTTGATACATTTATCTCTCCAGTAACCGGACCTCAAGCCTGGAAGCTTCCAGAATCACTTATAAGAACCCTTTCTATTGCAACAATTGACCCTGGGAGTACATTCTCACTGACTAGTCTAGAGCGCAGCATACAATATAAAATTTCTGCCACGGAGCACTATTGCACTTCCCTTTTTCCCCCTAGGTTTCGGGTCCAACTCCCAAATACGAAGGTTGAATGAAAAGTAGTGGGAACATGTGTGGTATACGAAGAAAAGATTTTATTTTATTGAAAACTACCATTACGAGCCTTCAATGTAATCTTCTGGCATGCAATGAACCTCGTCCCAAATATCTGGGAAGCGACGAATGCCATCAACAGATCGATTCTTGTTAATATATGCGATGGACCTCCCTACTGCCCGCAACTTTTTGCATCCCGATGATGTCTTTAATGATGTGACAGACAGTGAACTGGCTTATCCCAACTTCCACAGCCTATTGGCGCGTCGTCCATTGCCTGTTCACTTTAAGCAGTGACTTAACGAGCTGCACCTGCTCATCCAGGATGGTGGGTCGTCCTGCACGTTGATTATCCTTGGTAGAGTCCCGCCCCTGGCGAAATCAAGGGGGGTTATGTCTGGTGGTTGTGGCGGCCAGGCGATTGGTCCACCTCGGCCAATCCAACGACCTGGAAACTTACAACCCGATATCATCTTTCAACAGGACAGCGCTCCCCTTAACTGGGACTTAACCGTTCGAGCCACCCTGGAGAAAAAGTTTCCAGGTCGTTGGATTGGCCGAGGCGGACCAATCGCCTGGCCACGACAATCACCGGACATAACCCCCCTTGATTTTTTCTTGTGGGGGTATGTGAAAGATGTGGTCTACCTGACCAAGGTAGCAAACCTCCAGTATCTTCGTGCTCGCATCATTGCTTCCATCGCGCACGTGGACGCCAACATGTTGGACCGAACATGGAAAGAAACCGACTACCACCTTGATGTCCTGCGCGACACAAACGGAGCTCACATTGAAGTGTATTGGTAGTGTGCACAAAACTTCATGAGTTTCTGTAACAAATTAAATAAACGGTATTATTTTATCATTTCAGGTTCTCAATTTATTAGCAACCAAAGTTGTCCAGATCTTTCTGGAACACACTGTATTTCTCGGAATAACGGCGTCAAGTGTGGCTGTTGTTAGGGGGATCCCAGAACACAAACTATAAAATGAACGTACTGCCTCCGGATCGACGAGCATCCGCTTCTGCCTTCGAACCACCTCTCACTGAGCTTTCAAGATGCAGAGACGTCTCGCGTTCCTCTTCCTTTCCTTCCTCTCACTTGTCCTCCTCCTCCTCGCTCCCGGGGACCAGCGGGCAAGACCTGTGTCCCGATCTCGACGATATCTTCCCCTGCACCTGCAATCACTTTCTGGATACCTTCTGTGTTTATGCGGACTGTTCAAACGCAACGTCGAGCGACGAGATTTTCTCCACCTTCAATGACGTCACTTGGCCCTTCCCAGAGCTTGCGTGAGTCAGTTTGTTTCTTCAATTTTGCGGAAAATGTTTTGCTGCAGTTCAATGAACCCTAAAAAATGCTAAAAATTAAATGATCTCAATAGCGCATTGCAATTGAAATGAAATGGGAAGGTCTGCCCTGATGGCCTTCGCATCAACATGGTGATACAAAGTCCATCAGGTCGGACCTTGCAAAATAAAAGGCCGCTTGACGACATTTTCGCTTCCGATAATGAAGTTTGCGCTATAGAGGTTATCTTAGCGAGGATTGGGGATCTGTCGTTAAAATATTTACCGAAAAGCACACCTGGAACAGCGTGCAATTGTTCCATTATATGAGTAGGGACGAGTGTTTTCACTCAAGAGCGCACCTTCTGTACACTCTTAGGAAAGAGTGAACGATTTCCGAAAAAGGAAGCGAAACTGGAGTTAGCGATTTTTCCCACCAAAAACAAGGAAGTTATGCCTCTGATCTCTCTCTTCTGTTAATAGCCACTAACTTTTTCTACAACCCAAGTAGCCATGGATGATCTAAAATTCGTCCATGGACAATCCAGTTGTCCAGAGATATGTATAATTCTAGAAACAGTCGTTCTTTGGATGTACATAGGATGTCATCGCCATCGATTAATATCTTCGCATGCATTCTGAGCCTTATCCAAGCATAATTTCTCTAAATCGGACACAACTATTTACATTTTATTGAAAGATTGGTTTTTGGAATGACGTTAGGAGCATCCGATCCCGGGATTTCTATAGTTCTATTTTTTATTATTCAAATCTCTCATCAAAGGTCGATATCCAGTAACTTCAATCATTTCATAGATAGTGCGATATTATTCTTTGACCAGTGCATTATTTCATTTAGAGTTCGATATTACAAATGAAATGATGTGTCAATTTATCTTTGGACATCCATTGGAAGTTAAGCAAAACAACTT